GTCACTTAAGCCAGTGAGCCAGGTAAGTGTGGGTTTTTCAAAGTTTTATTTTAATAATATCAATAATAATAATGAATGCTTACTGAGCGCCTACTTTTTGCCAGGCCTCACCCTATGTGCTTCTATTTATATCTCAATTAATTATGATCCAAAGAAAGCATTATCATTCCCATTTTATAGATAAGAAAACTGAAGTTCAGTGAAGTTCAGTAACTCAAATCCTCATAGCTACTAGGTGGTAGGACTGAGTTTCTGTCCAGTTCTAAAATCCATGCTTTATCACTATGGTATATAATATTATCTCATGTATTTGTCTTCTGGATGAATGAATGGATGCAGGTAATTGTGTAGAGGACAGGGAAAGCCTGGAAGTCAGGAAAGTGCCCCTTTAAAGACTAGCTGACTCGTTCTTGGCAGTTTCCTAAGGTGAGAAGAGCTCCCAAGGAGAGGGCCAGATGTTCTTAGAGGGGTTGGGAGTGTGGGGAGTTCCACTGAGAATCATGGAGGAAGCCTACACCTGGTGCTGGGACATGTCAGCCCTATCTCCTGTATCTACTCCAGATTCTGGCAGCCACCGTGGTTGGCCTCCCTTTAGTTCAATTCTGTCTTCTTTTAGTCCAACTGAATCTGGCTGGAATTTTTAAATCTTTATAACAAAACTAGAGGCCCGGTGCACAAACTTCATGCACTCGGGGAGGAGAGGGGGTCCCTCAGCCTGGATTGCGAGAGGGCTCAGGCCAGGCTGAGGGACCTCACCAGTGCACGACTGGGGCTGGAAGGGACGCAGGAGGTTGGTCAGTCAGGGAGGGACCACAGGAGGGCTCTAGGGCTTGTTCGGCATGTCTCACTCAGTCCTGATTGGCCAGACCCCAGCAGCAAGCAAACCTATCTGTCAGAGTATCTGCCCCCTGGTGGTCAGTGCCCGACATAGCGAGTGGTTGAGTGGCCTTAGCAAATCATTAGCATATCATGCTTTGATTGGTTGGGTGGATGACTGGATGACTGGACACTTAGCATATTAGGCTAAGGAGAAAACAACAAAGCTACACTCTCAGTGCCTTGACTCATGACTCCAACATCCTACTAACTGAACCACAGACAATTTCTCTTGCTTTCTGGGACCTTAGAAGAAGAGATCCCCGCTCTCATCCTTAGCCCCTTTCTCCTTGCCCTCTTAAATTCCTTACCTGAAGCACACCTATTGGCTGAGGTTCAAGCTCAGGTTTCTTCCTCACTCGGATTCCCTTAGAAAAGGCGCTGTGCTCCCTGGCACCTCTCTGTGTCCTGCTTGGTCCTCCTATAGCCTGAATTGGATTCCCCACCTCCTGCCAGTTGTTCCTCTGCCTGGAATGCATCCCCTCCTTCTCTTACTGAGCTTTTTCTAAATTGTCCTCTGAATCCCAGCTCAGATGTCACCTCCTCCAAGAAGCTCCTCCAATCCCATATCTATCTCGGGTGCCTTTCTTCTGTGTTGGGTGACTGTTTAGCTCTTAAAGCACTTATGCTGAAATTGACTTTTTACTTATGTGTCTCCCCCTCTGAGTTCTGAGCTCTAGGAACCTATGTCTTATTCACTGGTTTGTCTCAGCGCCTAACAGTGTTTGTCATGTAGTAGGTGCTCAGTGAGTGTTTATTGAATGTATTAATCAGTCCATGATTAAATTCCTTATGGTTTGAAAGTCTTACCTACTACCCATCAAATTTCAACTGCTGTAGAAGGATGGTTCTGTCTCCCTGGTCATGTGTGGGGCAGAATGACTCTTATCCCCTGACCCTAGTGAATGAGTAAGTGAAGGTCACCCAGCTACCTACGCTTCAATGGACTCACTCTTCATGAATTCCCAGAAATCTTCTGGCTTCCTATTCCTGTAAGATTTTTCAATATTAAAAAATACTGTAGATGGACAATGCGTTCATCACAACAGACTGGCTTATTTGGGTGTAGCAACCCCCAGTCTCGGTGGTTTAAGGCAAGGAAGATGTATTTCTCACACACTGCATACATATGGTTGAGCTGGGGATTCTGCTTTGCATTGGCATCTCTCAGGGACCCAAGCATGGTTCTAAGTTAAAAAAAAAAGTTGACATTTGTTTAACCTTCCATTTCCCAAATTATTTACCCACACAACCCTTTTTCTTATATAACACCTCTTTCTATCCTTATGGGCCTCATGCTCAAAAAATACCAATCTAAAGTGTTGATAGCATAACAAACCTTTGTGGCACATCTTATAGTCAATAAAATATGAGTAAAGCAGTCTCTGCTCACATTTGTCATTTTTTAAAATGAGTTCAACAAGTATCTGTGGAGTTCTTACTTTGTGCCAAGTGCTCACCCAGGTACAGGACTTGCTGAAATATCAATATACACACTGAGTGGCCAGATTATTATGCTCTCTGAATGCACTCAGTATATATATATTAGAAGCCCAGTGCATACATTTGTGCATGGGTGGGGTCAGGACAGCCTGGCCAGGTGGAGGGGACATGGGCGGTTGGTCAAACTCCTGGTCGAGGGGACAATTTGCGTAATAGCCTTTATTACATAGGATTATACAGGATATACACTGAGTGGCCAGATTATTATGCATTCAGAGATCATAATAATCTGGCCACTCGGTGTATGTTCTTTGCTGTCATCAAGCTTCCCTTCCAATGGGGAAGACAGACTAAACCAAAAACAGCACTGTGCATACAAAGTAAATATATTCTAAAGTGCTAGGAAGAAAGGCTATGAGAGTGCATAAGAGGGTGACCTTACCTAGTCATGTCAGACTGTCCTGAAGAAGTCAATCTGCTATTTGCAAGATGAACAGTTTGTCAGGCAAAGTGGAGATGGAGAGTAATGGTTGCAGGTAGAGACAGAAAGTGTACCAAGCAGAGAAAACAGCATATGCTAAGGCCCTGAAGCAGGAACAGAGGGGTCAGTAAAGTTGGAATACATTGAAAAGGAGGCAGTGAACAAAGGACCATATATGCAGGCCTCAGGGGTCAAGTTGTCATTTTGAGTTTTATTGGAAGAGCAGTGAGAACCAATGGGTGGAGAGCTTCCAATCCAGCATGGAAAAAGCAGACACAGTCAGCTAATTAATTATATGGCTTTTTATAATAAGATATTTAATTGGAATGGCACTCTATGCTCTGCAAAATACTTTCATGTCATTATCCTATGTCTTCCTTGTAGCAACTCTCTGAGGGAACTAGTTCAAGTATTAGAACATAGGGGGAATCTGAGGCTCAGAGAGGTAAGTGATTTGCCCAAGGACACACAGGGACCTAACTGGAGAGCAGGCATCGGCATGCTGGTCATCTCACTTATTGGGCCAGTCCTGCAGAGAAAGCACTGGCTCTGCATGAGTCGGTCCTAGAGTCTCTGTCCTTACTGACAGGGAGGCCCTTCACTGAAGGACAGTGTGGAATAGTGGTGAAGTGCTCAGACTTAGTTCAGGTCCCAGCTCAGCAACCGCTTGCTAGCTAGATGATCTCTAGCTAGTTATTTAACCTCTCTAACTGTCACAATCCTTATTTGTAAAATAGGGATAGTTATATTAACCTCATAGGATTGCTATAAAGATCAAATGAGGCAATTCAGATGGAAGTATCTGACACACAGTAGTAGGAACCTAACAAATACCAGTTTGATTTTTTTTAGAGAGATAACTAGCTCTTTCTTTTATTTTGGAATTTTGGAATATACTGAAGGTGAAAGTTAAATGAAGCTCAAATCCGAGTTCTGCAGATGATAATTCCCCGGGAGCTGCATGCAGGGGAGTGACTGTCCAGGTGTTCTCCCAGGTGGATAAAATGTGGTGGCCTTGAGAAACACATTCAGGGAGCTGTTGGGGTAAAGACCCTGGAGAGTCAGCATTTCATAGTTTCAGAGGCCTGAGAAACATCAGTTGAAAGACTTTCCCAGAAAGTTAGTGGGGGCTTTTGGGTAAAAGACAGGGGCTTGGAGCACAGGGAATATCTGTGATGCATGGGACTCACTGGGTATCCCCGACCACTTGTGGGGCTTTAAATCCAGGGCAGGGTGGACCTTTGTGGGACCTGCCCTCCTCCCTAAGGCATGATGTCCTATTCTAAGAACTTAATATGGAAAGGACTGGCCTTGAGTTTTTCTAGCTTTGCTCTTGAAAATGGGTCTTCTAAAAAGAGCTGGTCGGTTAAGTGTGGTCTCAGCGAAAGGTTTAATCAGTGACTCTCAACTGTTTTTACCCTGGTTTACAGCCTGAAATAATTTTGCATAGTGACCCCGCATGCAGCATGCAGCACGCAGCACACGTGTACACACACACACACACACACACACACAGTTCTTATAAGTACAATACCTACACTTACATATGTGATGCATCTTGGTACTTTATTTTCTATTTTATTCTATTTCATTAAATTGATTTCATGACCTGCTAATGGATTGCCACCTGCACCTTGAGGAACATTGGTCTAATAGATGATGACTTGTTTTTGAAGGTGATTGAGGTAGATGTTGTTCATGAATAATGAAATTCAGATGAGCAATGCAAAAGGCTGCACAGACTGTCTACTTCAAATGCTCAGAGCAAATCTAGAATCTAGTTTTGTGTCACCCCTAAATATAGAGGCTGGAGGTAGTAAAAACAATAAAAATAAGAAAAACAACAACAACACTATTTACTGAGCACCTACTGAGTGCTGAGAACTGGGCTAGGTACTTGAGTGGGATTAAAAATACAAATAGTCAATACTCCTTGTCCTTAAAAGAGTTCATAACCTAATGGAAGAGGTGAGTGGGATCATAAACGCAGACTATGAGGGTATTTCAGGTCAATGTGGCAGACTCAGGAGGTGTAGGAAGATGTCCCCCTCTAGAAATATGAACTTTATAATTATATATGATACACTTAAAATATATAAATTTAACTATTGAAAAGTATATAACCATATTCTAAAGCAATCAATGGAAGTCCGTAACTGCCGGGAATGAAAATAAAACTCGGATCCAAAATGCCCAGAGCGTACTCGCTTTGGCGGCACACATACTAAAATCGGAACGATACAGAGAAGATTAGCATGGCTCCTGCACTAGAACGTCAGGCAAATTCGTGAAGCATTCCATATTTTTATAAATGGTGATGGAAGGAGGCTGGACTCTGGGTGATGAACACACAATACAATATACACATGATGTATTGTATTATAGAATTGTACACTTGGAACCTATATAATTTTATTAACCAATGTCACCCCAATAAATTCTATTAATTAAAAAAAAAAAAACCAAAGTGACCAGTGGGGGCTCACAGAGTGATCCATTCCGATGCCTGCTCTCGGGAGTTGGGAATTTGAACTGAGAGACCAAGAGACTGGGATGCAAGTAGAGACACACTGATGGCAGAACGAAGGAGAAGGCCAAAGGGCTTCAGCTTCTAGGGACACAGAGCTGCCTAGGCCTTTGCCCTTTCCAGTCCAGGATGTGAGATCCTTCTGCGTGTTCTCGGTAAACATCTCTGCGCGTCAGCCAGCTCAGGTTACTTTCTGCCATCTGCAGCATTATTAGCATGGCTTGGTTAAAGAAGGGATCTCCTTTTCAGTAGGAAGAGTCTTCTCCTAGCTATTCATACAAGTTCCAGCTTAGAAGCTCTAGTTCATTGTGGTGCAGGTCAGTCCATTCCAGAACAGCTGCTGTGTCTGCCTGGCATCCATTGAGGAGGATGGTCTTGTCTCATCCCAGGAGCAGTAGCTGGAAGGCTCTGAGAGGGGTTTTCCCTGCCCAGCAGGCAGCTCATCCTTCCACTTACACCGGAGGCATCAGGTGCGCCAAAGTGTTCCATTAACAGCACCAGACAATCAGTAAACTACTCTAAGACCTAAAATGTGTTGAAAGAACTAAGCAGGGAATCAGGGCAAGAAGCAATAATGTCTTACATTGTGCATCCTGGAGCTGTATCGGAAGTCAGGTTTCTCTGAAGACACTGGCTCTTCTTGATTCTGTGGAGTGGTATTCCTTGTAGACTGCAGGTGTACATGATCCTACCTTCTATCTGTATTCTCCACGTACATGGCTTACCTCTTCCTGCGAGTTGTATTCTCAGAGACCATGGATATATCTGATCTTGCAGATATTTTCCTAGGAACCCAGGGATGAATCCTGTTATATGAAGTGGGGTCCCTTAAAGACCATAACGATACTTGGTTGTGTAGCAAGGTGTGCCCGGGACCACAGGTATACCGAGGCTGCTGGTTAATGGCACTGCTTCTGTGCGCATGGTGTTACTGGAGACCATAGTCATACCTCGTCCTGACAAATACAGCTTCCCCATTCTGATCAAGGATATATGGGAACAGCCTCCCTTATTAAAAATAAATGCACTAAGGAAGAGTGCTAACTAAAGGTAGAAGGGATTGTAGAATTAGAAAAGTCCCCATTTTGTAACCACTGTAGTCATAATTGATTCTGACAATGAGTGCTAAAACCACTGGATACAAACTGCTTAGACTCTAAGCCTTAGAAAATAGGATATTCTCACCATCTCAGATCCTGCCCCCACTCCAGACAATGTGTTAATCATAAAGGGCAAAGGGTATCTTTACAATCGAGAAATTTGGATGTTGTCACCTTAAAATTATCACCACCAATAACTGGAGAGACCGAATATGATGCACTAAGAAGAAAATGTGCATCATATTCCTTCTAATATGATGCACTAAGAAGGAAATGTCACCTATGGGGTATCCCTGCCCAAAATGTTTGGCCTCAACGTGATCGTGAGGAAACAATCAGACAAATCTCAATTGAGGGACATTCTGCTGCCTGGACTTTCCAAAACTATCAAAATCATGAAAAAGAGAAAACAAAAAGTTGGAGCACTATCTATAATAATAAAAGGGTAATATCCAAATTGATTGGGACACCCTTACCCAATGACCAAACAGCAGGCTGCATGGGGCAACCAGGCAGGCGGGGAGATGGGGGGGAAGGGCAGTTGGGGGTAAACAGGCAGGCGGGTGGGGGGGGGTAGAGTTGGGGGCAACCTGGCTGGCAGGGGGGACAGGGATGGGGAACCAGGCTGGTGGGGAGGGCAGTTAAGGGTGAGCAGGCCAGCGGGGGGGGGGGGGCAGTTAGGGGTGACCAGGCCAGCGGTACGGGGCAGTTGGGGGTGACAAGCTGGCAAGGGGGCAGTTAGGGGTGATCAGGCTGGCAGGGGGAGCAGTTGGGGCCAACTAGGCTGGGAGGGGGGGCAGTTATGGGCAACCAGGCCAGAAGAGGAGGCAGTGAGGGGCAACCATGCCAGAAGGGGAGGCTGAGAGGGGCAACCAGGCTAGCGGGAGGGGGTGGGCAGTTACGGGTGATCAGACCAGCAGGCAGAGGCAGTTAGGTGTGGTCAGACTGGTGGCGGGGGTGGCGGGGGTGGCGGGGGGGAGGGAGGGAGGAGGGGAGGTATGGAGAGACAGTTAGGAGCAATCAGACAGGCAGGCAGAGGACATTAGGGGCAATCAGGCAGGCAGGCAGGTGAGTGGTTAGGAGCCAGCAGTCCTGGATTGTGAGAGGGATCCGGCCTAAACTGGCAGTTGGACATCCAGAGGGGTCCTGAATTGGAGAGGGTGCAGGCTAAGCTGAGAGGACCCCCTCCCATGCATGAATTTGTGCACCAGGCCTCTAATCCTAGAATAAAGGAGATCAAAAAAGTAAAATGCAAATGGAAGGTCTTGGATGGGGGGATAAAAAGGACACTATTGGGACAATTGAGGGTTTTTTAACATGAACTCTGAGACTAGGTAAATATTTACTTTCCTGAAATCCAGATGAATGTACTTGTTCTTAAGAGATAAATACTGACGTATTTAGGGGTTAAGTGTCATTTGTGCCAGCAACTAACACACAAAGGTTTCAGAAAGAGAAGGAGAGAGAAATCAAATTACAAATTGCTAATCTGTGTTAAAGTACATGAGTGTTTGTTACAACAATGAACTTTTCTGGAAGTTTCACATTTTTCTCAAAAAAAACATTTGGAGAAAAGAAACCATTTTAAATACTCCTAATGAAGTACGTAATGGATCTAGTCAATGGTAGTAATGGCTGTTAAAACCATTAAGTGAAAAGCTGATGAAGGGAAAAAACCGAAAGGGAACTTTATAATGGATATATCTGGCTGGCAGCTACTGAACCCGCTGATTAATCTTAATATTATAAAAAGGAGCCGAAACCGGTTTGGCTCAGTGGTAGAGCGTAGGCCTGCGGACTGAAAGGTCCCGGGTTCGATTCCGGTCAAGGGCATGTACATTGGTTGCGGGCACATCCCCAGTAGGGGGTGTGCAAGAGGCAGCTGGTCGATGTTTCTCTCTCATCGACGTTTCTAGCTCTCTATCTCTCTCCCTTCCTCTCTGTAAAAAAAAATCAATTAAAAAATATTAGAAAAAGGAAAAGTGACAAGAAATTGTGTGGTCCTGATATGATGCAGGAGGAAGTTCAAGGCATCTATAAAATATGATTACCCCCAAACACCAAGCCAAAAAAAAAAAAAAAAAAAAAAAGCCAAGAACTCTAGAATCTACCAACTTAAAGGGACAGAAAGACATGTTTACTGATAGCACAGAAATGCTATCAGCAAGATCCAGAATGGAAGGAAATTCTGTAGGGCAAGTCACCCATAGTTTCTCAAATAATTAAATTTCAAGAAAAAAAGAAGAGAAAGTGTAACCTGTGAAATAAAAGAAACTTAAGCGCCACGATGGCCACAAGACAGTGCATGGACCTGGGTTGGAAACTGATTCAGGGAAATTTGAATACCGAATGGCTATTTGATGAGATAAGAAATTACCGTTAATTTTTATTTAGGTGAGATAATGGGATTGTGGTCATGTCGAAAGGGTCTTTAACTTTTAGAAATGCATATTGAAATATTTATGGGTGAACTGACTCGATGTCTATGATTTGCTTCCAGATAATCCTAGGGGAGGGAGCAGGGGGTACAGATGAAATAAAGATCAGCTCTTTGTTGATAGTGATTGAAAATGGGTGATATGTACATGGATGGAAAATATATATATGTTTGAACCAGAACAAAGTCGTAACAAATAAGTAAACACAAGCCACTCCAATATTTCCCCGACATGTTCTCCTGAAGAGGCTCCTCGGTGCCGGAAAGAATGGCTGTCCCCTCACAAGTCACGCAGGTGAGGTCAGGGAGAGGACTCCTCGGGGAGGTGGACTTCAGGGCCAACGTGGTGTTAATTCTGTCTCCAGTGGAGCACCGCTCCCTCTGGGAGGCTGTCTTTTGTTTTGTTTTTAAACCACTCTGTTGAGTAGGAAAAACAAAATATTATTTCTGGGCAGCTCGCTGCCTCGATCTAGGCTAAGGAATGGGTTTTGCAAAGATGAGTGGGCTGGCCCCAAGGTGGAGGGAGGAGGTGAAATTAGATGTCTCTTTTTCGTGAGGCTGAGTTAGGGTTGAGGTCGGAGATCAGAGGGCAAGGGGGGCTGGAGGGATGAGCGCATCACCAAGGGGTGTTCTGTGGAGACCTGGTGAGCTTCTAGAGCAGCCTCTCCCAGCCTCACCCTGGTGCTTCAGTTCCCCTGGTGGAGACGGAGGTCCTGACCCATCCCTCCCCACTCTGGAACTCGTGCAGCCCATCTCCAGATCCTTCTTTCCCTCTGGTCCGCATGTACCCTTCCTCCTGGAGCTCTCTCCTTCCCTCCATTCCCTGTCCCCACCCTATCAGACACCCCGGTTCAGGGTCCAAGAGAAGGACAGCTTTTATGTGGCCTGTAAAATTCTATTATATCTGTATTCAAAACCTACCAGCTGAGAAACACTGGTAATAGGCGTGTTATTAAGCGTGTAAATACACATCCACTCCAGGGCCTCCAACGGGTGGGGGCCGGATTCTCAGCCCTGTGGTCTCCCCTGCCCACCTGGCCTCCTACCCAGACTTGGGCCTTGTCTAGAGGCCCAGGCCTCCTCCAGCCTCCAACCACCGTGGTAGTCCTAGTCCTGGTCCTAGTCCTGGTCCTAGTCCTGTGAAACCCAGACTCTTGGAGAAAAAAAAAGGGGGGGGGGGGAAGAGGGCCGAAGAAAAAAAACATTAGGAGAAAAACTCCCACCCAGAGAGCATTCTTTCTGC